GTGTCAGAGGCAATGAGATTGGCACGGGATAGAGCATGGTTTAGGGTTGTTGTACATAGGGTAGCTATGAGTCGCAAATGACTCGATGGCACATAACAACAACAACAACAACAACAACAACAACAACAACAACATTTAATGGTAAAATCAATTTTTCGTATAACTCCTGTTTTTAAATTTTATAGAGGATCTACTGGTAAATGTTATTGCAATAGCCAAAGGCATTTAATTCAGTTCTTATTTCACAGAATGCAGTGGGAGAACAACTAAAACCATGGGATGGGAGAAAACATTGTATTCAGAGATATGCATTCAAATCTTGGCTCTATGTCTATCGAGAAAGTTGACCTTGATCAAATTACTATCTTTCAATATCCCCACAAAGGACAGTCAAAAGAAAAACATCTTTGGAATTATTGTTCATTAATTTGCATTTACTAATTTAGCAGTATTCAAATTTAGGTGAATGTGGGGTTGTTTTGTACTGCAGAGTCAACAATGATTCATAGGGACCTTTTCCCCTACCCTGCACCATAGTCAGGACCTCTGCCATGCTCCAGCCCATGGTGACAGTCAGTCTATCAATCTATCGTATTGAAGATCTTCTGTTTCTCTGACCCTCCATCTTTCTATGAATGGTATCTTTTCCCAAGGACTGGGACCTTCCTAACATGTCCAAACATGTTTTACCATCATTGGCTGTAAGGAGTGCCCTGATTGCACTTCCTCCAAAACAGATTTGTTCGTTCTTTGGCAGTTCATGGGATATTCAATATTCTTCATCAACATCACCATTCAAAGGCATCAGTTTTTCTTCTGTCATCCTTATTCACTGTCTGACTTTTAGATACATAGGAATACTATGACTTGGATCAGGTATACCTTACTCTCTAAAGTGACATCCTAGCTGTTTAACAATTTGGAGAAGTCTTCGACAGACTATTTTTCCAGGGCAGCATGTCTTTTGAATTCTTGAGTGCTGCTACACTGAGTGTTGATTGTGAATCCAAGATGAAATAAACAACTTCAATTTCTCTCCATATATCACGATGTTACCTATTGGTACAGTGGTGAGGATTCTTGTTTCCTTGATGTTGAGATGTAATTAATATGAAAGGTTGTGGTATTTTTTAAAAATTAGTTTGTACTAATTTTATTTTACAACATCAATGACAATTGCACAATGCCATTATTTACAGTTTCTTAACAAGTCCACACTTTTCCCTCCCTTTTTCATCATCTTACTCATCCATTCCATATTTTCTGCTTACTCTTTCTCCTTCATCCCTGCCAACCCTTCACAATTATTTTTATCTCTGTGTAAAACTTTCCTGAGACTTCTCTCACTCCATTCAGTTATACATTTCCTGAGTGAGACTCTTGATTGCTACGTACCCAATGTGTGATCATACATTCATTTCATGTTCACCTTCCTTTCTCCTATTCCCCTTGGAGTGTTCATTATCTATCCATGGAATTCCTGCTCTCCCAGCCTCATCTTGTAAACATCTTTTTTTTACAGCAGTGATACTCTACAGTACTTTTCAAGATTCAGTTAGTTCACTCAGCATAATCTCCTCTACACTCCTTCATGCTGTAGAGTGTTTCACAAGTTCTTCAAGAAGGTTGTAATATTTGATCTTCTGTAGTAGTGCTTCAAGTTTTCTTCACTTTCTGCCCTCAAGGTTGTGTTATCTGTATAACACAGTTTGTTAATATGTCTTCCTCCAATCTCAATGCCACATTATTTCCCCTAAACTCCAATTTGTCAAATTATTTGCTCAGCATGCAGCCTGAGTAGGTATGGATGAAAGATAGAACCTGATTTTAAGCCATTCAGAGTTAACTTTTCTGCTCAGACAACTGCTTCTTGGTGTCTCGTTAGGTTTTATATAGGCACAGTTAAGTGTTCTGGGATTACCATTATTCTCAATGTTATCCATTATTTTTTGCTGTTATTCACAAAAACACTTTTTCATAGTTAATAAAACAAGTTAATATTATTTCTGATATTCTCTGCTTTCAGCCAAGAGTCATCTGACACCAGAATATCTTTAGTACTATAGCCTCTTCTGAATTCAGCTGGAATTTCTGGCAGTTCTGTGGATCTATGCACTGCTCCAGCAGCTTTTTATAATCTTCAGAAATATTTTACTTGCATGTGATATTAATGATATTTTTTAATTATTTCTGCTCTTTTTTTTTGAATGGGGAAAACAGGGGTATCTTTTACTTCAGTTGACCAAGGACCAATTTTCCAAATTTCTTAGCACAGGCTAGTGAACAGAGGTTATGTTCAGGCTGCATATGTTTCCTGAAACACCTCAACTGGTATTCCATTAATTCCTGGCTACTTAGTCTTTGCCAATGCCTTCAGTGCACCTTGAAATTCTTTTGTTATCACTGGTTTTGGTTATATGCTACTTCCTGAAAAGGTTTGGGGCTGACCAACTCTTTTTGGTACAGTGACTGCGCATTCCTCTCATCTTCATTTGACGTCTTCTGCATCATTAAAGATTTCAAATGGAACTAAAAAGAGAACTACAAGCAGCATTTGGGTTGAAAATGCTGACTGAATATGTAAGATGAAGACCGGAGAAAATAAGAATTTGTAGTAAGATTTTAAAAAGGGTTACCAAGAAATGTTTAATCTCAAATTTTAAGTATTTATGGATAAAATAATTATGGATTCATGATTGAATGCTCCTTATTTCTCAAAGAT